CAGAACTCAAATTCTAGTAATAAGGCCAGACTTAATGGTGTGACTGAGACTGGAGGTGCCCCAGAAAGCATGGCCCCTGGACTCTATCACCCCAGAACTAAAACAATTTCTGAGGCCAACTCGACTGTGGGACATAAAGTGATACTCATGAAGAATGTGCCTCTTAGTCAAGTAGATACAAGAGACCAAAGGGGCAGCTTTTGTCCAGAAGTGAGATGGGAAGGCAGAGAGAATTAGGAGCTGGTTGAATGTTCATGGGGAATCAGGGGCGGCGGGGAGGAGTGTGCTGTCACAGAATGGGGTGAGAGGTTGGGGTCTCATAACAATATATGTTAAAAAGAAAATTTCTGTATGGGAGACTAACTTCATTCATGTAAACTTCATTCAATTACAACAATAAAAAAAAGAAGTACACACACACACATACACAAATGATGTTTTTGGTAAATTCTAGGACTTACATAATTTTGCAACAACAGCAACAAGAACCAAAAAATATGTGTGGTTACATATGTATGTATGCATATATGTGTATGGGCATATACATGTGTGTATATATGTGTGCATGTATACATGTATCTATATATGTATATTGCAACCTTGGTGGTGTAGTGGTTAAGAGTTCAGCTGCTAACCAATAGGTCGGCAGTTTGAATCCACCAGGAGCTCCTTGGAAACTCTATGGGGCAGTTCTACTCTGTCTATAGGGTCGCTATGAGTCAGAACTGACTCGCCGGCAATGGGTTTGATTTTTTTTAATATATTTATATACATGTGTGTGTGCATGCATATACATTCATATATATAATAAAGAACATAGGAGGTACAGTTACAGATACTTCTTAGGCCTAACAAAACACCTCATGAGGTTGGTTTTCTGGGTTTGAAGTGGTAGGACCATAGTCTGGTGGGTCAACTCGGTCAATTGGCCTAATAGAGTTCATAAAGTTTATGTTCTACATCTTAGTAGGGTGAGTAGTATCTGGGGTCTTAAAAGCTTGAAAGCAGCCATCTAAGATACAGTTACCAGTCTTTTCTTTTCCGGAGCAAAAAGATAAAGAAGGAAACCAAAGACAAGGAGAAGTTTACAGGACTAACAGTCTACATGAACCACAGCTTTATCTACCCTGAGCCTAGAAGACCTAGATGGTGCCTGGATACCACTAATGACTATTCTGATCAGGGCCACAATAGATGGATCCTGATAGAAGGGAAGAAAAATGTGGAACAGAGTTCAAATTCTTAAGAAGTCCAGACCGAGAGTCCAGTTGAGACCACAGGATTCCCCGAGACCATCACCCTGAGATACTCCATAAACCTTGAACCGAAAATACCCCCTTAGATCACCTTTTATTTACTTATTTATTTATTGTGATTAGGTGAAAGTTTACAGAGCAAATTAGTTTCTCAATAAACAATACACACACACACACACACACACACACACAAGGAAGAACCTACACAGATAGTTATAAAACATTATTGGGGGAATTTGTAGGCTTAAATAAATGGGCCCGTACTCTGTGCCTCTGTACTCTCCACAAGGTTGCTGTGAGGATTGGATCAGTCAATATATACAAAGGCCTTAGTGCAGTGCCTGGTACATGACTAAGTGCAATGTGAATGAATGATTTTGACTTATTGCTAAGCAGCCCAGGGAAACACAAGGATAATGAAAAATGGTCATGTTTTTGCTGGATTTCAAAAGTGAGCTAGGAAAAGAAAAGGCCTATTTTGGGCAGATTTCTCATGAGTCTGTATAGTAACTGCAAAATTATTATATGCTCCCCTCTTTCATCCCATAGCAATTGTCCTATGCATGATGCTGTATGCATGATGCTATAATAGAACTTAGCCTGGGGCCTTTTATCCATGATCATCACTCTGCTGCCTGTCCACTGCCCCACCCCACTGTTGCCTGGGGTCTCTTCAAAAGGGGTCGGGGCCTTTCTCACTCTGCTGCTTAAGTTTGGATAGATGACCTATCCAGTGATAGGTATAAAAACACCTTACAGACAACAGCTATGTTTCTGTGCAACTAAAAGTCCTTGATTACTCGAAATAAATCTCATTTAACCTATTTTGGGCAATCAAAGATCAGTACTCAGGAGATAATTCACCAAAGAGGGCAGGCAGTTTGATTTGTTCTGTTTCCAGAAAGTAATGCATGTTGGTGAGTTTTCCCTTTTTGGAGGGTCACTGTGTAATAAGGAGCTGAGGCATTCTCTGGCACTGGCTTCTGGAGCATGCCTTAAGGTTAACTGCCTTAACTGTAGTTATGTGAGGACAAGATTCATTCATCAGACAGGTTTCATTTGATCAAAGCAGCTGCAAAACGTCCAGGACAAGGAGCATGTGCAGTGTGCTTTCTATAAAAGATTACAGGTTTCAGATAGAACAAAAAATTAAGTGATATTTCTGAGAAATGAAACAAACTGCATTTTGGGATAAGCTTCCTAAGTGGAATTGCCAGATGATTGATTCACAAGTGTGAAAACATTCTACTTGAGACTGAGCGAGGGAGATACGGCTACTTGGTGGAAAGGAAAGAAAATCTCAGACTGAGGGTGGATCCTGGTTTTGCCCCCAGCAAACCCTGTAGCCTGTAGAAAACCAGTTAATCTTCTTGAGTCCCTGTTTCCTCTTGTGCTGGGTTGCTGTTCAGATGAAGGGTCAGTGCTTATACTGGGAATGTGAATGATGGCAGCTCTCATGTTTATCCCTAAATATTTCATATTTAAAATGATACTGTTTTTTAAATCTTAATTTGTGGTTCTTCATTGCTGGTACACAGAAATATAATTGAATTTTGTTTCTTGGCCTTATATTCTGCAGCCTTGATAAACTAACTTATTAGTTCTAGCACCATTTTAGATTCCATCAGATTTTCTGTATAGATGATCATGTCTTCTGTGAATAAAAAGATTTTTATTTTCTTCTTTTCTGATCTGGATGATTTTTATTTCTTTTTCTTACATCGATGCATTGGCTACAAGCTCCAGTATGATCTCCAGTGCAGTGTTTTATCTTAGCAAGAAAACATGCTGCCTTTCATCATCAAGAATGATGTTAGTTGAAGGTTTTTCATAGATTATCTTCTTCAGGTTAAGTAACTTCTTTTTATTCCTAGTTTGCTAGAAGTTTTTATCAGCAATGGGTGTTGGATTTAGTCAAATACTGTTTCTGCATCTTTTGAGATGGCCATATGGTTTTTCTCTTTTAGTAATTTAATATGGTGAACTCCATTGATTGATTTTCAAATGTTAACTCAGCTATACCTCACTTGGTCATGATGTATTATCCTTTTTATATATTGTTGGATTCAATTTGCTAAAATTTTGTTACAAGTTCTTAAATCTATGATAATAAAGGACATTGGTCTGTAGTTTACTTGGGATGTGTTTGGTTTTGGTATCAGGATAATACTGGCCTCATAGGATGAGTTGGAAGTATCCCCTACTACTCAATTTTCTGGAAAAGTTTGTGTAGAGTTGATATTATTACTTAAATGTTTGGTAGAATTCACCAGTAAAACTATCTGAGCCTCAAATTTCCTTTTCAGGAGGTTTTTAACTACAAATTCATTTTCTTTGATAGTTGTAATGTTATTTAGGTTATCTATTTCTTCTTTAGTAAGCTTTGGTAGTTTGTATCTTCAAAGTATTTTGAAATTTCATCTAGGTTGTTTAGTTTTTTGGCATAAAGTAGGTCAAAATTTCCTTATTATCCTTTTGTCATAGAATAATGATTCCCTCTTCCAATGATGTCTAGACCCTATCCCTGACACTAACATCTGTGTATGTTACATGGCAAAAGGGATTTTGTAGCTAGAACTAAGATTACAAACTCTAACATAGGGAGATTTTTTTCTGGGTTATGTTTGGTTAATATAATCATGTGAGTTAAGGTGGAAGCGGGATGCAGAAGAGTCAGAAAGATGCGACAAAGTAAGAGGCAGGAGAGATTTGAAGTGTGAGACAGACTCAACCACTGTTACTGACTTTGAAGGAGGAAGAAAGGGGCCATGAGACAAGGACTGCAGGTAGCCACTAGAAGCTGAGAACAACTCCTGAGTAAGCCAACAAGGAAACAGAGGCCCCAGTACTGCAATTGCAAAGAACCGAATTCTGCCAACTACCAGAATAAGAAACAGATTCTTTCCCAAAGGCTCCAGAAAGGAACACAGCCCTGCCAGCTGTTAACTTTGTCCTTATAAGACTCTGAGCAGAGATCCAGCCAAGCCCTCATACTTTTGATCTACAAAAACTGTGAGATAATAAATGGATGTGATTTTAAGCCACTAAGTTTGTGATAATTTATTACAGAAGCAATAGAAAACTAGTACATATTTTACATCTGTAGAATCTATAGTTGTGTCATTGAACTTATTCAGTAATCTTATATTGGTAGTTTTTGTCTTCTCATTTTTTGTCCTGTTAGACTGGCTAAAGGTTTGTCAATTTTATTCATCTTCTCAAAAAACTAGGTTTTGGTATCATTAATTTTCTCTAACAATTTTCTTGATTCCTGATCCAAACTTCATTATTTTTCTTCTGCTTATTTTGAGTTTCATTTGCTTTCAAGATGGTAAAAAAGTGAGCAGAAGATTTTAATAGACACTTCGCTAAAGAAGATGATATGGATGGCACACCGCACATGAGAGGATGCTCAGCATCCTTGGCCATTAGGGAAATGCAGTTTGAAACCACAATGAAATACCGTGACAAATGGTGACAGGAAAAGCCGGGGTGGGGGGATGTTACAATAACATCAGCGTGAGTAAAATTCTGAGGGTGATTAATATGTTCATTATCTTGGTTCAGTGATAGATTCATGGTAAACATATAAGTAGAAGTTTTAACTGTACATTTTTAATATGTCCAATTTACTGTATATTGATTATGATCAATAAAGAAAAAGGCAATCAGAAGATAAAAATTTCATTATTTGGTGTATTAAGAATTGAACTACATCTATATATCCATTTACTTATTTTCCAGGCTGGATTGCTATTATGGGTGCCCTCTGGTTGCTAATTATAGCTGATATCCGTGATTTTGAGATAATTCTACATAGAGTGGAATGGGCGACACTTCTGTTCTTTGCAGCACTCTTTGTTCTGATGGAGGTAAGACTTCAGGGCTTTTGCAACATGATGTTTTACCTGGTTTTGACATTTGCATTATATTTAGTGGGTTAAGAAAGCCTAAGTCTGTCTTTCCACATATTCACTAAGTGGAAAATGATGAAAGCTATAATTAGACTATTCAAAGTTAAACCTCAGTCACCTAAATATTTATGATAAAATTGTTTCTTTGTGTGTGTGTGTTTTTTTTTTCCAAGAAGTATCTTTGTGTTTTGAAAAACTTGTTATAATTTTGTTTGCTTTAAGGTAGAATTTGCTGCAAGTTGGGTTTGGAGCAAAATGACTTCTTGTTGCAAGTTTATTGTAGCAATATTATCTTCAGGATCTATTTAATTTTGTGTAATAAATACATAAATATTTCTGTTATTATGGAAAAGATTACATCATAGAAATGAGTGAACGATATGTATTGTTGCAGTTATAATTGTTGTTATAAAATTATTCACAATGATTTTAATCTTGAGACTTCATTTATAAATTGTATCTTAGGGTCTCTAGAGAAAACAGAACCAGTCATATATAAGGGGCCCTGGTGGTGCAGTGGTTAAGTGCTCAGCTGCTAACTGAAAGGTTGGTGTTCAAACCCACCAGCCGCTCCATGGGAGAAAGATGTGGCAGTCTGCTTCTGTAAAGACTACAGCCTTGGATACCCTATGGGGCAGTACTGCTCCGTCCTATAGGGTCACTATGAGTTGAAATCGACTCTACAGCAACAGGTCAATATATATGTACACTTAAAGTGGAAGCGAAATGCAGAAGAGGCTGTCAGAGAAATGTGAAAAAGGACCTCAGGTTATTAGATTTTTATCATATACATGGTTTCTAAAGATATTCTTCCAGTCCACAGCTTGTTTTTTCACTTTTTTGGTAGAGTTTTTGGATGAACAAGTTTTCATTTTTACGAAGTCCCATTTATTTAGTTTGTCTTTTACTGTTTGTGCTTTTGTTACTTATTTATTTTTGGTTTTAAAGAACAGGAATTTATTTTCTCACAGTTCAGGAGGCTGAAAGTTTGAATTCAGGGTACTGGCTCTAGGGGAAGACTCTCTGTATTGGCTCTGGGGGAAGATACTTGTCTCGGCTTCTGTACCCCTGGCATTCCTCGATTCCTTGGAGGTCTCCACGTGGTGTCTATCTTTCCCCCATCTGTGTCTGCTTCTGTGCCTAGTCTGCTCCTTTTATGTCTCAGAAGTGATCAAACATAAAGCACACCCTACACTGATATGGCCTAATTAGCACAACAAAGAAAACCCTATTCCCAAATGGGATTACATCCACAGGTATAAGAGTCAAGACTCCAACACATATTTTTGGGCACAAAATTCCATCCATAACAGTGGAGATTTGGATTTCTCCTACCCGTTGAGGAGCCTTGAAGAGTTTTAAGGAGTGCAGCTACAGGCCCCAATTATGCCTCTGCTTCTTTGTAAAATAGACTGGAGCAGGGCAGGCCCGGGGCAGAACCACCTGTACGACTCCAGAGGAGAGATCCTGGTAGCAGGATCTGGAAGAGTGCTACTGCCTTCCAGACTAATTTTCCAGAAATATTAGTTTAAACAATGTCACCGCCTCCAAGAAAAGTCTCCAAACATGAATGTTGAAAAAATTGAGCCTTTTTTTTTTTTTTTTTAATTTTATTGTGCTTTAGGTGAAAGTTTGCAGGGCCAATTAATTTCTTTTTTTTTGGTTTAATCTCTCCCAGTCTTTTTTTTTTTTTTTAATTGTACTTTAGATGAAGGTTTACAGAACAAATAGTTTCTCATTGAACAGTCAGTACACATATTATTTTATGACATCGGTTAACAACCCCACAACATGTCAACACTCTCCCTTCTTGACCTTGGAGGACTTTTATTTATTTATTTTTTTGGTGAAAATATACGTAGTCAAAGATTCACCATTTCAAAAATTTCTACAATTTGTACAATTCAGTGACATTGATTACATTCTTCCAGTTGTGCTGTTATTCTCACTATCCTTTTCCCAATTATTCCATCACCATTATCTTCAACTCACTGCCCCCTAGGCTTCCCATGAAACCTTTTGAGTTGCTGTTGTCAGTTTGAACTGACATAGATAATTTTTTTTTTCTTTAGATGAAGGTTTACAGAGCAAATAGTTTCTCATTAAACAGTTGGTACACATATTGCCCTATGACAATGGTTAACAACCCCACAACATGTCAACACTCTCCCTTCTCAATCTTGGGTTCCCTATTGCCAGCTTTCCTGTCCCCTCCTGACTTCTAGTCCTTGTCCCTGGACTGCTGTGCCTCATTAGTCCCATTCTGTTTTATGGGGCTGTCCAGTCCCTGGCTGAACTGTGAACCTCGGGAGTGACTTCACCACTGAGCTAAAAGGGTGTCCGGTGGCCATACTCTTGGGGTTTCTCCAATCTCTGTCAGGCCAGTAAATCTGGTTTTTTTTTTGTGAGTTAGAATTTTATTCTACATCCTTCTCCAGCTCTGTTGTGATCACGGTCAGAGCAGTCAGTGTGATAGCCAGGCACCATCTAGCTGTATTGGACTCTGTCTGGTGGAGGTGCAGATTAGCTTCTTATTCAAAATTTATACACAGATTATTTTGTGACATTGGTTGGAATCCCTACATTGTATCAGCACCATCCCCGTTTCCCTTTCCACCCCAGGTTCCCTGTTTTCCTGTCCCTTCCTGTCTTCTCCTCTTTGCTTTTGGACAGATGTTACCCGTTTGATTTCATATACTAAGAAACACGTTCCTCATGTATGTTACTGCTTGTTTTATAGGCCTGTCTAATCTTTGGCTGAAAGGTGGACTTCAGGAGTGTCTTCAGTTCTGAGTTAGCAGGGTGCCTGGGGACATAAAGTAAGGAGTTCCTTTAGTCTCTGTCAAACCAGTAAGTCTGGCCTTTGTGTGGGCGTGTGTGTGTGAATTTGAATTTTGTTTTACACTTTTCTCCCTCTCTGTCTGTCTGGGATCCTCTCCTGTAATCCCTCTCAGAGTGGTGGGTGGTGGTAGCCAGGCACCATCTAGTTCTTCTGGGATCCAGCTGGTGGAGGCTGTGATTTCTGTGGTTCATTTAGTCCTTTGGACTAATATTTCCCTTGTGTCTTTGGTTTTCTTCATTCTCCTTTGCTCCGAAGTGGATAGGACCAGTAGATATATCTTAGATGGCTGCTTGCAAGCTTTTAAGACCCCAGACACTACTAACCGAAGTAGGCTGTAGAATATTTTCTTTATGTTATACCAAGTGACCTAGATGCTCCCTGAGACCATGGTCGTCAGCCCTCAGCTCAAGTAACTCAGTCCCCTCAAAGTGTTTGGGTTTGTCTAAGAAGCTTCTATGACTTTGCCTTTGTCAGGTTTGCTGACTTCCCCTATATTGTGTGTTGTCTTTCCCTTCACCAAAGTTACCACTTGTCTACTATCTTGTTAGTGATCTCCTCTCCTCATCCATCCCCTCCCTTGTAGCCATCAAAGACTTTTTTTCTGTGTGGAAAACTTTTCATGAGTTTTTATAATAGTGGTCTCATACAATATTTGTCCTTTTGTTTTTTTAAAATTTTTTATTGTTGTAATTAAATGAAGTTTACATTTCAAGTTAGTCTCCCATACAAAAATTTTTTTTAACATACATTTTAATGAGACCCCAACCGCTCACCGCATTCTGCGACAGCACACTCCTCCCCTCCACCCCTGATTTCCCATGAACATTCAACCAGCTCCTAACTCACTCTGCCTTGCCATCTCACCTCTGGACAGAAGCCGCCCCTTTGGTCTCTTGTATCTACTTGACTAAGAGGCACATTCTTCACGAGTGTCACTTTATGTCCCACAGTCCAGTCCAATCTCTGTCTGAAGAGTTAGCCTCAGAAATTGTTTTAGTTCTGGGGTAATAGAGAGTCCAGGGGCCATGCTTTCCGGGGCGCCTCCAGTCTCAGTCAGACCATTAAGTCTGGTCTTATTACTAGAATTTGAGTTCTGCATCCCATTGCTCTGCTGCTCCATCAGGGACCCTCCGTTGTGTTCCCTGTCAGGACCTTCATTGGTGGTAGCTGGGCACCATCTAGTTCTTCTGGTCTCAGGCTGATGAAGTCTCTGGTTTATGTGGCCCATTCTGTCTCTTGGGCTAATATTTTCCTTGTGTCTTTGGTGTTCTTCGTTGTCCTTTACGCCAAGTGGTTGGGACCAATTGATGCATCTTAGATGGCCTCTTGCAAGCTTTTAAGACCACGGACGCCACTCAGCAAAGTAGGATGCAGAACATTTTCTTAATAAGATTTGTTATGCCAACTGACATAGATGTCCCCTGAAAGCATGATCCCCAGACCCTGCATCCCTGCTACTCTGTCTCTCAAAGTATTTGATTGTATTGAGGAAACTTCTGAGCTTTGGTTTAGTCCAATTGTGCTGGCTATCTAGTCAGTAAATAACCCTCCCCCTCCCTCCCCATCCCCGTAACCATCAAAGAATGTTTTCTTCTATGTTTAAACCTTTTCTTGAGTTTTTATAAAAGTGGACTTATACAATATTTGTCCTTCTGAGACTGACTAAATTCACTCAGCGTAATAAGTTCCAATTTCCACCATGTTATACCATGTTTCACAGCTTCATCATTGTTCTTTAATCATTGCGTAATATTCCGTTGTGTGGATATACCATAGTTTGTTTATCCATTCGTCCGTTGATGGGCACCTAGGTTGCTTCCATCTTTTTGCTATTGTGAACAGTGCTGCGATGAACATGGGTGTGCATATATCTATTCATGTGACGGCACTTATTTCTCTAGGATATATTCCAAGGAGCGGGATAGCTGGATCGTATGGTACTTCTATTTCTAGCATTTTAAGGAAGTGCCAAATCGATTTCCAAAGTGGTTGTACCATTTCACATTCCCACCAACAGTGTATAAGTGTTCCAATCTCTCTACAACCTCTTCAGTGTTTGTTATTTTGTGGTTTTTGGATTAATACTAGCCTTGTTAGGGTGAGATGATATCTCATT